TTCGATAATACAGGATGTGGAAGACAAACCAAATAAATTAACCAGCTGCTTTTAAGGCTGGTTCGCTCAATGACTTACCCCTAAAATGCTTTGTAGAGCATTCATGCTCAGTAGGTCTCTAGGCAGTTTTATGACTAGAAGAAAGAAATGGATTTTATTAAATGTCAGTGAAATAGGGGCAGATAGCTTTGTGGTACTTAAATTAGTGTGGAATGTGTGTAAGAAAAGTAGTTTGTCTTTCTCTAAATCATCAGTGCAGAATTTTCCTTGGCATTCCTGCTAGAAAATGTGTCCCTACTCAAAATTCCCATAGATTAGGATAAGACAGTAAATGGAAGTACACCATTTGGTACTGATCTCCTGTGAGAAGCCCTGTGTCCCTTGGAGTAAATCCCACTGAAGGCCAGTGATTAAAAACTTCAGCAATTGCTGGTAGATACATGACGTTGAATACCATGTGAGGCTTAGAAGCTAGAATTCATGAGTGAGGAAACAGGCAGGCGAAGAGGGATAAGAGGAACTGCTGAGGAGCCAGGGACTTGATGCAAGGAGAGATTCGGTTAGGTCCAGAGAGCCTGAGAGATGAATGCCATCCAAGTCCAGAGAACTTTCTGCAGTGCCCAGAACATCACTGTGTAGTCCAAACATCAGGTACATCTGTGTCCCCCAGTGAAAAAATCACCAGCTGCTTAAATGGAGCATGAGAAAACTGACATTTGAAGTAGTTTTCCAATTTTTGATGAGTTTTATGCAAGTTACATTCTCTGCCCTTGAGGAATGGGCAGTAGTTTGTCCTTACAGGAGTTGGGCATGAGCTCAGTAGTAAGTCCCTTCTCTTCTGACAGGGAAAATGTGTTAATTGTGTAAATTAGCTTGGAGGTTCTTCCATTTTAGAGATGGCAGATTTCCATGTAGTCAATGCAGTTTTTAACGTATTAGGAGCTACAGATGTCTTATATAGCTGAAAAGAGGCTCTGGGCCACTACATAGTTCCACCAGTTGCAAACACATTGTGAATTGACAATGAGGGGAGGATTAAGAATCACCCTCAGAAAGCCTACTGTCCATCATGCCCATGTGTCTAGCAAAGTGAAAGGCATGCTCCTTTCCCAGCAGGGAAAGGCAGGGAAGCTCAGATGATACCCAGACCGAGGGAAGAGGGTGCTTTTACAGGGCAGTGGTGCTGTGATTGGACTAGCATGGTTATAATGCACACAGCAGGACCAAGCAATTGGAGAAACATGGCTTACAGAGGAATGCTTGCTTATTACAGATAATTCCTTTTTATCCAAAAAAGACAATAGTGATGTGATAAAAACTATTACATTTTTGAGAAACATCCAAAAATAAGACAAATCACATTGAACTTGTAGTGATTATGATAAACAGTTTATTATGTCTCATTCACTTTGAGAAGTTAGCATGTTTGCTTTTTTGGTCTGGGGGTTTATTTGTTTTCCAGCATGTAGCTTTCACATCCATGTCCTTGGCCTTTCTGTCTTCATGGAACCTTCACTGAAGGACGGGAATCTGTGCTCTGCCCATTTCATGTCAAACCGTTTGCAGAGCTTGGCTGAACCAAACCTGTCATGGACTGACTTCTTAATTCTTGTCTCCTTCCTTTTCTTCCTGTCCTCTTCTAGAAGTTTTCCCCAGAGCTAGAACGGGACAAAGAGAAGCCAGGGGCCAGCTGGCCTCTGTTTCCCCTGCTAGCCCTAAGCACACTGATTGGAACAGGGGATTTTGTGGAGTGAATTTGAAAAGAACAGACCAAGAAGATGAAACAAACTGAGACTGTTGTCCTTGGAGGTGTGGGAGGGTAGAGGTGGAGATGGGTGGAAGCAGAGGTGGGTGGAGATGGGTAGATGGAGGCAGGGGGGAAGAGGCCCTCAAGCTCCGGAGCATTGTCTTTCTGAGACTCTGTAGCACTTGGACCCAAGGCTCTCTTTTATATCTGGTTATTTTAACCTAGGTGTTAGTGCACTTCTAAGCTCCATGATCTCATGAGCCCTGGATGGTAGTTATGTAGGTTTGTAGTACCAGGCCTGATTTCACTCCTATTCATCAGCACTAAGCTCCAGCTAGACAGCTGTTGACTACTGACAAGATATGAATGTCACCATTACCTTCAGGGATACTTTGTTTATTGTGGCTCAGAGGCATCTCTGCTGGATTTCTTCAGATGTAAAAGAGATCATGAGGATGTGGGATGAGGTGAGAGAATAGCAGAGTAACTCTCTCTTTTTATCTAGTCAGTTTTAGAGCATTTCTGTACTTTTGAAATGTTCCACTATACAGCAAGAAAAATCTACCCTCTTTCACCTAATTGCCCAGTTTTTAAAATTGCTAGTATCACACTTTTTTTCTTTCAAATGAATTCTAGTACTTTGGGAATAATAACTAGAATTAATTCAATGGGATTTTCTGTGGTCCTTCATGAGAGCCACATGGTAAACTGATGGGACTAAAGCTCTTTTATGGACTTCAGTGGAGTGTCTTTGTTTGGCTTCTGTGTGACTTGTATAACTTCCATACCTGGTCTCTTTCACTTTTCTCATTTTGATTGGTTCCCTGAAGCTTAGTTGGATTTGTGATATGGCTATTCTTGTGTTTATTACTCTAGGTGCAATATGATTTTCCTTTTTACAAACTTGGAGAATATTTTTAAACCTTTTATTGTCCTTTATTTACTTCTTTTTTTTTTAATTCCTGAAGAATGGTGATATGAAGAATTGGATCTAACTTTTAAAGTTCCCATCTGCTCTGTGGGATATTTCAGTCCTGTGGAGTCACAAGTGAGAGATTTATCCCATTCCCTGGCTAATAAGAATTCTTTTCAGATACTGAGCCTTCTGTAGGTGCCCAGCCGTGCCGGTGACAGCAGGAGTGGTGACAGCGTGGCCTGGCAGCCTGCACCTTCGTGCTGCGGCTGTGGTTTTCCCAGGCCTAGTCTCACTGTCACTCTTGTTGCAGTGAGCATGCGCGGTACCCAACTCTGGTACCTAACGGAGCATCAGCAGGCTGCTTGGCGCAGAATGTTAAATTGCAGCCTTTTCTGGTTCTCATTTTTTTAACAGATTTTATAGAATCTTTATTGTAAACTCTGGGGTGGCTTTACTTTTTAAATACAGTATACATTGTTTATCTTTCCTCTCAGTATTGAGTTGGTCCTGAGGTGGGAATTGTTGGTGAATTCCTAGCAACCTAGCCAGTCATTCCTCTTAGCAGCCAGTGATTAGTGCCCACTGTGCCCTGCCTATTTCTCACAGTCCCCTCCAGACCAAGGCCACGGTAGAGGAGAGAGTCTGTGATCTTACCAATTTCTCCTGGTTAAAATAATTATTAACTGCTAATTGTTAGTGGATTAGGAATCCCTTTCTGTCACCAAAAATGCACTCAGATTTTTTTCTCAGTTTCAAACCTTGTCCAAGTGTGTCATTCCACTCACTTGCTGGGCAGCATCCTGTCTAGCTCCTTTCCCTGTTTGACAAGAAGGGAAGCCAGAACCCAGTGCAAGGACACCCCTGGATTTCTAGCAGGTAAGTAAGGATGAGATGAGTTAGAAGATCACTGAAACTGGGTGGATTATTTCTGATGGAAGACAGATGGTGAGGCCAGCTTACTTTTGTACAAGTAACAGAGAGCTTCAAGCATTTTATATAGCACATTAATGTGAATATATTCAGCTTACTTGAGAGAATGCACATTTTCTTTTTTATATAAATTCTAATTATGTACATGTAAAGAATGAGAAAGATATGCAGGAAATATAAGTAAAACAAATATTTATTCTTTTTTTCCGGGGAGCCGGGGCTTGTTTTTTTGAGACAGGTTTCTCCATGTAGCTTTGGCTGTCCTGGAACTCACCAGGCTGACCTGGGACTCCACTTCTCTCTGCCTCCTGAGTGCTGGGATTAAAGATGTGCGCCACCACCACCTGGCATAAATTTATTCCTAATGCATGATCTTTCCTCCCCAATGCTTCTGACATGGTTGGAGATATACAAAACACTGAGGAGAACTGAAATAGGAGTTTTGAAAATTCTCTTGTCTGGTGTGGTGGCACCTGCCCATACTGCTAGATTTCAAGGACAGAGCGATCATAGGTCCACAATTCTACAAGATTCTAGGTCAACAATAGCAAAGCTTATCTCTTCAGCAGCCTCAGCTCTCTCATGGCTTCTGTTCTCAGTACTGGCATACAGTGGTAAAACACGTACTTCCGGATGGTGTGCATTTAGTGACACACTGTATAAATGTCATTGCTTAAGGAAAATATTTTACAAATGCTTGAATTATCAGAACTGTATCTTCTTCAGGATTAAGGAGTTTTGGCAAGTTATATTTATATTAAAATTTCCAGTAGGCTTTTTCTCTTTATACAGTGTCTAGCTACTGTGGAATTTTTAAAGACCCTAAACCCTAAAACAAATGGTCCATACTTTGTGATTTGATTTACTGTTCAAAAGATACTGTCAAATTATTTGCCTTGGATGAAATGAAAGAAAATCTGACCGTTTCAAACTAAAGCAGTTTAATCTGTGATGACGATCTTGTCAGTGAGAAACTAAAGAGGTTCTGATTTCCCAGTTTACAATATGAATTAGTTCCTAGTTCCTTATTGAAAAGCTTTCCTGAAACTGCTATTCACCAAGGCATTGTTTGCCCACAGTCTTGGTGTTTTGGTGCCATCTTGTGGCTAGGATTTGTCATAACCTCAATGCTCAAATCTGATTTAAAGAGGGATGCAGTTCAAGATAAGTAGGGAATTCTTTCCAAAAGCACGCACACACACACACACACACACACACACACACACACACACACACACACACACACACACACACACACACACACACACACAATCACAAACACACACACACACATAAATTCGAGTGGTTTATTTGTCATTTGGTAACACTGACAGGCAGAAATGGTGAGTTAAAGATCTTCTGTGTGACTCCTGATATTTGAAAGCCTGTGTTTTGCTGTGTCCTCAGTTGCTGCTGTTTGAACGGACTTGGATGAACAGATGGAAATCTTCTGTCCTGCACGAAGGGGAAGGGAACATAAGGAGTGTGAAATGGAGAGGCCATCTGATTGCTTGGGCCAATAATATGGTAAAGGCACATGTCTGTCTCTCTAACACTGGTGTAGTTGCAGAAGGTTGGTCAGATGGAAAGGTCTGGAACAGAGAAGATGATTAACACGTGATGGGGGGGTGACCATTCTAATAGACATGAGTGGCATTGATACTGCACCTCCAAGCCTTAGGAAGGCGGGTCACTTTGGATTTTTGTAGTACAGTAATTCCCAACACATTGTAGACTTTGTTTTAGAGTAAGATTCCTGAGGTACAGAGTAGTCAAGAGAATAGAAAGTCATTTTAATAATTGAAGGGCTACTTCAGGAATTAGTTCTAGAACTGCCGTTTACCCAGAGTCCACGGGCCACCGATAGAAGCAAGTACAACTCCTTTTGATTTCTCCTTTACTGCCAGTATAATCATAGGCCAAAACATACCTGCCATTGAAAAAGTGTGTTGTACTTTCAATACTGCATTTTCTTAGAGTTTATTTAATATAAAGTGAGTCCTGGAGAAAGTTTTAAAAATAGTCTTTCTTCATATTTGTCATATTTTCTGACATTTCAGAGCATAGTTGAGAATATCATTCTATTCAGTTAGAAATGATAGAAACCTACTCAGTTTAACCCTACTGTTTGGGATTTTCCTTCCTTTTCTTGGTTCCCAAAGAAAGTAAACAGTCGTGGTCTCAAGACTTATTTTCAGCTGGTAGTATGCTTGATGTTTCCATTGAATTGTCACATGTGGTTTTCTTTGAATGGATCGGTTTTCAGAGCCCACACCTTTCTGAAAACAACAAAACAAAACAAAACAAAAAAAACAAAACTCATTTCTGTGCAGAAAGTTGCATTAGAAATGCCTATCGACTGTCAGGTTACAAGTAAACTTGGTGTATCTGTACAGTGCGTGTTTGGTTCTCATAGGGTTTGTATAAAGCAAGATTGTGCCTTTGTGTGTCTCTTTGGCATGCTCAGTAAATGCCATCATTATTTTGATATAACACAACTATTGATATGTTCCTTCTCCAAATGCAGGATGCTTAATATTGGTTTGTTTTGCAGGGTGTGAAGATTTTTGATATCACTTCAAAGCAAAGAATCACCAATGTTCCCCGAGATGATATAAGTCTTCGGCCTGATATGTATCCCTGCAGCCTCTGCTGGAAGGACACTGTGACACTCATTATTGGATGGGGAACTTCCATCAAGGTGGTTTACCTGGTCTTTAATTAAGCTCAGACATTATAGATTCACTGAAAGTGGTCTAAAGAAGTATGTATTCGTGAGTGGTTTCTGGGAAACCTAATGTTTTCACCTGAATGCTGTGGTGATACGACAGTGTATTTCACAAGCACAGATCTTAAGATGTGCTCTTTCTTTTCTGTGACATGCAAAGCAATCCCTGCTTTCTGTTCTCAGGATGATGTTGTATCTGCTGAGTTCTGTTGTAATTTTCCACAATCCCACTGCAGTCCCATAGCTGTTTATGGAACATGTGGTTGGTTTTGGTGATTTAGTCAGATGCTTATCTTCATATTATCCTCCCTTTGTCTTTAGCTGTGACCTTTGATTTCATTTGGATTGTTGATGGTAATGAGATAAGATTAGAACTAAATCACCCTGCATGTTTCATAATTTAATGACATAGAGACCCTGGTTCATTGTATTTAATTTGATTTAAGAACATTTTCTTACATTGATTAACACACCCATATGTACCTTGGTAAAGTAAAGCTGCTCATTAGAAGGAGCCTAGACCCCAGTTGCTTTTATTTCATGCTTACCAGCACTACTAGAGTAGGTACTTGAATCTCAGAAGTGATTCCTTCCCTTTAAAGGTGCATCACGTAATTTAAAAACTAAACTAAGATTTAGCTGAAGGAAAAAAAGTTATGAGAAAATATCTCAGCAACAGTTTAGTATTTAAAGTCAGACAGACTTGAGATTGATTCCTTCTTTTCCACTTACTTTTTAGATGTATGTGGGAGGGTGTGAAACTTGGCATGTGGTAATAGCTTATAAATTTTACCTATTAAAACATGAATCCTGTAAGGAAAATGTGAGACATGGTAGAACGGAAAAGTGTGACAGTGGCTAATGTGGTGCCTTGCTGCCTGATTCAGCACTGTGACTTCTATGCCATGCTCTTCCTGTCTTCACAGTGCTGTGATGCAGGTGTTCTTTTTAGATTGGACTTGAAGTGCTTATTTATAAGAAAAAAATATGGGATTAAGTTTAGAGTAGAAAGATTGCCCGGAGTTGCCCATTTGGTTCTAAGTGCAGTCTCATTGTCTTAGTGACCAAACTCCATGACCAAGGCAACTGAAAAAGAAAAGCACTTAATTGGGCTTACATTTTCAGAGAGTTAAGACTCCATGATGGCAGGGCAGTGTGGCAGCGTGACAGCAAGCAACAGATATGTGCCTGGAGCAGCCGAGAACTCTCATCATCCTTCCACTAGTAGGAGGTAGAAAGAGGGACACTGGGAATGCTGCAAGCCTTTGAAAACCCTGGAGCCTACCCCAGTGACACACCTCTTTCAACAAGCCACCCCTCATAGTCCTTCCCAAATAGTTCTACTCATGGAGACCAAATATTCAAACACATGAGCCTAGGCGGATCATCCTTCAAATCACCATATTATGTTCCCTGGCCCTTTATACTCATGATCATATTACAATGCAAAATGCATTTAGTCCAATTTCAAAAGTGCTCATAGTCTTTCTAGAGTTCTAAGCCCCTTCTTTCAAGACTGTCTCTTAATTGGAAACTCCTGTAAAATAAGGGCACAGAATATATGTTACCATTCCAAAAGAGAAGAATAGGGGGTAGTAAGAAAATATGGAACCAAGAAAGACCAAGACCTAGTAGAGCCAACTCTGAGTCCTTTATTTAGCTCCATGTCCAGTGTCAAAGGGCTTAGTTGGTTCTGTCCTTCCAGCTTTGCTGCTGGTAACACACTTCTCTCTCTTGGACTGGTTTCACTCCATATGTGCAACTGTCTTTGGCAGAAATCCTTTGGCTATGGCATCTCCAAAATCTTGGCTTCTCCAGTGCAATCCAGGCTTTACTTTCATAGATTCACAAAATGGTATCTTGACATCTCAGGGCCTTCACCCAGGGCTGCCTTGCCACACGTTCCCTGACCCCAGCAACTCTTTCTCATCATGAAGGAAGATTTCACAACTCCTTTACTAGTGTATCCTTCATGACTCTAAAGCCAGAACTATTTGAACACCACTTACAGGTTTGGCTGATGGCTTGGAGTGGAGCTTGGCCACTGACAATTGCAGAAAACTTCCTTTGTTGTTCCTTTTTAGAAGCAGGTTGGAAGCTGAGCCTAAAGGCATTTTGGCTTGGCCTCTCCTTCATCTTCTCATCTTCTTCAGCACACTCCTCGGATTCAACATTGAATTTTCTGGTGCTATGTTTTTCTCTTTAAAACACACATCTTGTATTTATTTTTGCCCTGCTTGCTCTTTTTCATGGTATACCTAAGAGTGATTACTAATAACCATGTGATAGAGTCAATGTTAGGTTACCTTGTGCCAGTGAAATTAGTCCATTACTTTTCAGTTTTGCCTCATGCAAATTCTTAGCACAAGGGCAGAAAGCTACTCATTCTTTGCCAAAGTTACCACAAGAATAGTCTCTATTCACATTTTGATCCACAAATAGGTGGCCGAGAAAGGACACTCTGGGAATGGTGCATGCAAATCTTTTGAAACTTCAAATCCCACCCCTAGTGACAGACTTCCTCCAACAAGGCCACATCTTCTAATCCTTCTCTAACAGTTCACAGACTAGGAACAAAGCATCCAAACTAGTGAGCCTTGGGGGCCATTCTCATTCAAAGCAACCCTGCCAGAGATCCCAGTGAGGGAGATGGAGAAGGAGGGGCTATAATGCTAGAAAACAGTGTGTTGCTTCTGGAGTAGAGCAAGCTGACCAGGCTAAGGTTCTCCCTCAGAGATTTTAAGAAGTACTGCCTTGTCCACACCTCATGTCAATTGATTAGAAACTGATTAGATTTGTAGGTATAGATCTATAAGTGATTGCATTTCTGTGTAAAAACTGCCAGAGTTTCAGTTATGTGTTAGAACAGTCATAGATAATGAATTCATATTCTCTATGCTTAAATAACAACCAACAAATTTTATGTCAAGTATGTTATTTTATTAGGGATTTTTTTTCTTCAGACTAAGTCATATTTTGACTATTTCTTGATTCAAAGTCTTGGTGAGCAACCTTGATTGACAGAAACTACTAGAAATAGCATAAGAAAGCATGTAGTTAGAGATACACTATTCATTTTGTATGGTCACCAAGCACCTGTAGGCAGCGGCTGCTGCAGATACAATAGGCAAGTTAGTTCATTCTTTGTCTGGACAGTTTCTGTTCTGGTGAAGGAAGTTAGACAGAAATCAAAGGGCAAGCAAACACGTGTTGATGATGGTAAATAGCAAGGAGGAGTATATGCAGCATAAAGGCGAAAGGGGCTCTCTGAAAGCTAGTATGTTATTAGTGTAGAGCTCTGAGAGGAAAAAGTTATGCAGTTCTGAGGAAGTGCTGAGATGAGCAGCTAGAAGCCATTGTCAGGAGTGGAGCAGGGATGGGGCAGAGTGGACTGTGGGAGTGGGGTGACAGAGTGGGTAGTACCTTGACGTATGGGTGCTTGGAATATCTCTGGCCTGCCGTTGAGTGAGGTAGGAAGCCAGTAGAGGTTGCTTCTGTAGAGCTACTTAAATGACCAAACTTGTGTTGTAGAAGGTTGACAATGGTTGTGCAGAGCTATACAGTGAAGACATAGTGGAGAGGGAAGAACAGACAGGGCGCCACTGCAGTTAAATAGTTATATAACGCCTTTTTGTACCTGTGCTGTGGAGCTGGTGAGACAGCCTGGACTGTGGGTGTATTCTGAAAGTGGACCCTTCAGTGTTTAGTGATTTCTGGACTAGGGGGTGTAAGAAAAAGAGAAAAAGTCGGTGTTACCTAAGGAACTAGAAGTAAACTTTACTGTTCATGGAGTTTGTTTACAGGAAAAAGATGCCTCTGTGGGATGTGGAGGAGACAGGTAAAAGAAGCAGATTGGTTCTCGTGGGTGAAAGGTTGCCTGTAAAAAGAAAGGACCTTCAAATCATGATGTGCTCTAGTGCAGGCCACAAGCTTACTGGGGCATTTGCTGTGTACCCTCCAAACCTGCTGCTTCACACCACAGAGCTGAGGAGTGGTGGGACAGAGTGGTCCAGCAACTGGGAATGGTGCCATGATTCGTGTCTCCAGAGAGGCTTGTGCATTGATCAGGATATGCATTAGCCCTTTAACTCCAGCCCTGTGGTTTTTGACTAACTTTCAATGCCTCAGGTTTCTCGTCTTAGAATAAACATGGTGGCATTGCCTTTCGTGTATATGTGTGTGTCAGAAAGTCCAGTCAGATCACAAGTTCAAGTCTCAAGTCTGTCCACTTCTTTTTAATTTCCTGTCAAGTCTCCCTGGCTCTGGTTTTTCCTCTCAACTCTGTCCTCCACAGTGCAGTTAGAAGAGTATATACAGAATGAGAGGCAGGGGTCCATCTCGTCTGTAAAGCCATTGAGACATGTTCAGTATCATATGAGGACTAATCTTCAGTGTGGCTTCCAAGGTTGTGCATGATCCAACCACTTTGTTCTGTTATGGGCTCAACTCTGCCCCTTATTCTGTGTTTTCAGTTTCTGTTTAACCTTCCAGATGAAGGCCTAGACTCTTCACTCTGTCCTATATACCTGTTCTTCCTCTCCTGGTTCCTCTTACATACCCCTTCTTCCAGAAAGATGCCTCGCTTGCAGTGCATGTCTCTGCTTCCCAACCACACTTCGGTCTAGTGCCTTATCGCATGTCTCCCTGCTGCACTGTCATTTTAACAAAATAACTCTAACTCAAGATTGGTGTTCAGTCATTGCTCAGAAAGTGCTGGCTAATATCGACATTATATTTTCTTTATTGCTGTACTCCAAACCATCTCCTTGGCCACTTTTATCAACACATCAAAATGACCATCCATTTGGCATTGTGAAATGTTCCCATTAGATGATTTAATAGTTTCCTTAGTAAGTATTGAGGGGGGGGGGGGGCGTAGATGTCTACCAGAAGTCTACCAGAAAGAGAGGAAAACTGGGGGAAACAGACAGGAGACAAATGTCAAAAATTAATTAAGGAGAAAAGCAACAGTCACATATTTGTGGATCCTCACATGTCTGCAGTAATGGCATTTTGTCCTACATTAGGGAAGCATTCTCTGAGTCCTTCACCAAGTTACTGCAGTGCTGGAGACCAAATTAGACATGTGTATTAAAAAGGGAACAGACCAAAAAAAGCATTTCTAACATTGACCTGGCAGCTTTATATCTAGTAATTTATCCTACGTAAACATTTTATACAAAAGTATGTTGAGCATGCTATTATTGTTTATAATATTCATGAATAGAAATAAAAACAATGGGGAAGTTGATCAAATAAGTAAGACTAGTTTCTTATGCTATGTTATAATGACAATACAGATTTATATGCTAGAAGAATATTTGAATGGTATTTATTATTTATAGTGAGCTTTTACATGAATAGCAGTAGCTCTACAGTAGACAACTATTAAACATGTTGTCCTTGGGCTGACACTTTGTTTATGCTTGTTTTGCCATTTGTTTGCCTACTGTAAACACTAGATTTACAATGTCCCATAGTATAGTGAAACTTAGGCTAGTGGCTATAAAATATCACTGTCTGCAAGTAAAAGAAGCCCCATCACTGAATTGTGGGATCAGTATATAACTTCTAGATTGATCTTATATAGAGGGCCAAACCTATAAAAATGTTTGTTTCTTATTACAAAGTCTTGCCAAGCTAAAAAAAAATTAGTAAATAATGTGTATTATCTGGTGTTTGTGTGGGGAGTTGGGGAAATGAGAGATTAAGGGATAGATTGAATATATATATTCCAACTCATTATATATATATATATATATATATATATATATATATATGTATGTATGTATATTTGTATGATGGAGTTTCTGTCCACCCAGTCCCAAAGCTATTTAGTCCCAAACACACAGAGGCTTATATTAATTATAAACTGTTTGGCCTATGTATCAGGCTTCTTACTGGCTAGCTCTCTCTAAACCTGTGTATCTCCACATGATCTTGGCTTACCCATGATTGCTGAGCCTTTTGCTTTCTCAGCAGCTACATGGTGTCTCCCTTCAGATCCATTCCCCTTCCCTGAATTCTCCTAGTCTGGTAGCCCCATCTGTACTTCTTGCGTGGCTACGTCCTGCCTGTCCATTGGCCGTAGCAGCTTTATTCATCAAGCAATAAGAGAAACATGTATTCACAGCATAAGAAGGATATCTCCTATCATTACTGGTTTAAAAAATACGTATTTCTATTTCAACTTTACATGTATAATTTTAAAACAAAGACAAACTTTTTTTTTTTGAGAAAGTGCTAATAGTAGAATGGTAGACTTTATAGGCCACATACTTGCTTCTCTTTTTCTGTCTTCCCTCACACAGTGGGAAACTGCTCTTAACTTCCAGGCTATGCACATGATGATAATAGGGCGTATGTAGACAGCAGGCTCTGGAGGTCAGCCATAGTGTGTCTGCTCTACCAAAAATACCTCCTGCATGTCTCTGCAGCCCTTAAGGAGAGCTTCAGAGAAGCCAGTAGAAACAGCAAATTTATATTACCATGCTCTTTCTTTGCCATAGAGTGTAACTTTATTGGACTAATGTTAGGGAATCTAAATAATGGTTATAATAGGTTTTTCAGGCTAATTGTTTGATTTATTTTTTTTTCTTTACGTATATGGGTGCCTTATCTGCATATATGTCTGGGCAACTCATGCATGCAGTACCTGCAGAGTCCAGGAGAGAGCATTGGATCCTTTGAAACTGGAGTTCCAGAAGGTTGTGAGTCATGATGTCAGTGATAGAAACTGAAGCGAGGTCCTCTGAAAGAGCAGCCAGTGTCATAATTGTTGAGCCATCTCTCCAGCCTCTCAAATTGATTTCTGTCTTTTACATCTTAGAGTAGATTATATATACTCTGTCTTTGGGTGACATGATTACCTTAAAAAAATACCACACTGAGTAAAATACTGTAGAAAATTTCCCATCAAAGCTAGAAAAATAACCTATGACTTTCTTTTCCAGATATGTTCAGTGAAGGAACGTCACGCCAGTGAGATGAGGGATCTGCCAAGTCGATATGTTGAAATAGGTATGGACCCCCTTCCACCATGTGTGCGGTGATGGTAAAACTTCCAAAGAACATCTGGTTGTCAAGTGGGAGTGGAAAGCCACATCCTCCACCAGAACTTGTCTCTTGGTACTTTGATAAAATGGATCCAGAAAGCCTTCAAGTTTTGGAGCCTAACCATGGAAAGCTCCTCTTCCCCTTCTTTTCCAAAAATGTCTATTTCTCATACTAATTTTATATTTGCCTTTGAAGTCAGATAATCATGTATTTGGACCCTGGTTGTGATATTTGGCACTAGGATCTCATACATATTTCTGCTGTTTTACATTTTTATGTGTAAAATGTGAGAAAGAATATTTATAAGGTGGTTGAAAGGAGTGTGCGTTAATGCATGCACGCACCTAGTACAGTGCTGACCACTGGTCTTGTTGACTTGAAACTAAACATTACTCATTTTTGTCTCAAATGCTTTGGCCCCAATTGACACCATCTTTTATTTGGAACACTGCAGCTTCTCAGTTTTATATGCTCCACTGTGACTCTAATCCAGTCTCTTCATCAAGTAAAAGTGCAGACCAAGTCATGTAATTATCCTCCAGTCTTTTCCCGTTTTTCAGAGGAGAAAGAGTAGACTACAGGTGTTGGTGTTGCCCATCCCTGTATATCTAGCTACAGGTCCCACCAGACTTCTTTGTGGTCTGTGTGCTACAGCCACAGGGGCTTTTCTACACTGGCCCCTCTGTATAGAACATTCTTCTTGATCATACCCTGGGTCAAGCATTGCTTTCCTTGGAAATCCTATTCATTTGCCTGAACAGGCCAAGCCTACCCATTGAGGTACGGACTCTGTCTGCACCTGGCTGTACATATGGCTGCAGCAGTCCTGAATTCTTGATTATTGGTACATTTCTGGGCAGCACAAGACTGTCACTTCAGTGCAAGCATACACTGGTCTATGATTGTTTACCCTGTATCCTGAAGACCTGGAACACTATAGTATACAGTACATAATATTGTGTTGAATGATTCAGTGCCTCCAGGAAACAACTACTTGGGTGAAGTGTGCCGAGTATGATACGCCATTTTATATTCATGAGGGAAAAAAGTCTTACCATATTAAATGGACTGTGACATTCTCTTTGGATGGTGGATGCTGTAGAAGTATGGTGCTTCTTGTTTCTCTGTGATGCTGCAAGCATTGTTTGCTCCTCATTATCCACTGGCTGTTGTGGCGAGAACATTGCAATCTGGGTTGTTCTGCACCTGAAGTCAGAAGTTGTGGTGTGTAGAGTTTTAATCCTTTTTCCCCCCTCAGAGATATCAGTAGTTCACATTGCTCTGAGTATGAACAGAATGCATACAGAGTGTGTAATAGTATTGAGAAAAGCCAAGGAGCAAGAGGTAGAGCAGACTTCTACCTAGAGTGTCTCTCACTTTCTTCCTACCTCTCCTTTGCCTATCAGGAAAATCCTCTGAAAATCTTGATGCATAGCATCTTAAGAGGTGTTATTAAATATATAAGCTACAAAACACAAAGCTCTGATAATTTTCAATGATATGGATATTTCCAAGGAAGTATAAGAATGTAGCTTTGTCATTTGTGTATCTTACTGATATTTGACCAATATAGTTCATGGTTATCCATTTCCATGGCAGGAGGCACAGCTTTTGTAAGAGGTCTTGAATGTGAATACCATTAGGGTCTTGAGAAGATACATCCTCAGCTGCAACCCCCTCTCGCTATGTTCCCCTATAAAAGGTGGGCCTTTTTTAGTACGTTGATCCTACCTATCCAAGTACATGGGAGATCTTTCCATTTTCTGATATCTTCTTCAATTTCTTTCTTTAAAGACTTTAAGTTCTTGTCATACAGGTCTTTTACCCATTTGGTTAGAGTTACTACTCCAAGTTATTTTATGTTGTTTGTGGCTATTGTGAAGGGTGATATTTCTCTGATTCATTCTGTTTATCATTTGTATATAAAAGGGCTACTGATTTTTTTGCATTAATTTTGTATCCTGCTACATTACTAAAGGTGTTTATCTGCTGTAGGAGTTCCCTAGTAGAGTTTTTGGGCTCATTTATGTATACGATCATATTATCTGTAAATAGAAAAAGTTTGACTTCTTTCTTCCCAATTTGTATCCCCTTGATCTTTTGTTGTCTTATTACTCTAGCTAGAAATTTCAGTACTATGTTGAATAGATATGGAAAGAGTGGACAGCCTTGTCTTGTTCCTGATTTTAGTGACACTCCTCCACTGTTGGTGGGAGTGTAAACTTGAACAGCCACTTTGGAAATCAGTAAGTCAGTTTCTCAGCAAGTTGAGAATCAGTCTATTTCAAGACCCAGCAATATCACTCTTGGGCATATATCCAAAGGATGCACTGTCATACCAAAGGACATTTGCTCAACAATGTTCATAGCAGCCTTATTTGTAATAGTCAGAACCTGGAAACAACCTAGATGCCCCTCAACCAAAATATGGATAAAGAAAATGTGGTGCATTTACACAACGGAGTACTATTCAGCAGTAAAAAACAGTGATATCTTGAAATTTTCAGTTAAATGGATGGAACTAGAAGAAAACCATCCTGAGTGAGGTAAGCCATACCAAAAAAGACAAACACAGTATGTACTCACTCATAAGTGGATATTAGGCATAAAGCAAAGGATAACCAGGCTACAACCCCAGAGTAGCTAGGTAAAAAAGAGGACCCTAAGAGGAACACACATTGAGGGCCCCTGGAGAGGGAAATAGTTAAGATCTCCTGGGTAAAGTGGGAAGGGGAGTAAAAGGGAGTGAATGGGGGATGGGAACATGATGGCTCAAGAAGGCCAAGTTGGGGGAGGTATGGAGACAGGGAGCAATGAAAGAGACATCTTGATAGAGGGAGCCATTATGGGGTTAGGGAGAAACCAGATGCTAGGGAAATTATCAGGAATCCACAATGATGACCCCAGCTAAGATTCCTAGCAATAGTGGAGAGGGTGTCTGACTGGCCTTCTCCTATAATCAGATTAGTGACTACCTTAATTGCCATAATAGAACCTACATCCAGTAACTGATGGAAGCAGATACAGTGATCCATAGTCAAGCACTGGGCTGAGCTCATGGAGTTCAGTTGAAGAGAAGGAGGGGAGGGGTCATATGAGCAAGAGGGTTCAAGATCATGATTGGAAAAACCACAGACACAACTGGCCAGAGCTAATTGGAGCTCACAGACTCTGGACTGACAGCTGGGGAACCTGCATGGGACCAAACTAAACCTTTTGAATGTGGGTGACAGTTACATGACTTGATCTGTTTGGGAAGGGGGGCTGGCAGTGGGACCAGTTTTTATCCTGGCTACATGAATGCGCTTTTTGGAACCCATTCCCTATGGTGGGTTACCTTGCTCAGTCTTTAAAGGGAGGGGTGCTTTGTTGAGTCCCCAAGGGAGGCCTTATCCCCTTGGAGGAAAAGAATTTAAATATGAAAAAGTATTTTTCATCAAACACCATAACACTTCCTTGATGCTGTTATGTGTGACTGCTTATGCTCCATGCCTACACTGCTCACTTAAACTTCTTGGCTCTCCTTAATGCTCACAAGATTCCCTAGCATCAGAGTCTTTATAGAGTGGCAGTTGTAGAGACCATGCTTCTTTGATAAGTGACGTTAATCATCTTCTGATATCTACTGCCAACAACAGATGACTTACATGCAAGAAATTAGCCCTAACTTCCGTGTCTTGATTGCATATGGAAGTTTAACAAGACAGTTGAGATACTTAACTACATGAAGATCTATATAGACCGTCAGAGAACCCGAGATAAAGAGGAAGAGAAGAGAATCTACATTGCTCTCCCTTTAATAAAACACCACCATTGTTTGCAGCTGGTCATGCATTGTGAACTGGAAACTTAGCATGTTGTCATGCTTTCAGCTTCGTGATTGATTTGGATCTCAGTGACCTGGAATGGAAGGTCTGCTTAATTGGTTCGAAGAGCTGTGAGATAATTCTTAGATCTAGATGACTCTCTTCATATACTTGCCACCATTTTAATTTTGATGTCCAGATTACAGCAGTCAGATGGTTCTCTTTGCACACAGATGACTTAGTTTTTCTTCCTAGTAAAAGTCTCAGTAGAGACCATGTCAGGTGCAAGTATCTTACCAGGTGTTTGTAGCTGAAAATCTGGCTTTTTTATAGTTTTCTGTTCAGCCTACTGTATTTATGTTCAGTTTACTTTCCTGTCTTGCATTGGATTTTCTCTAGTACTTAATTATGAAAAGAATTTAAATATGTAAAGATATTTTGCAGCAAACACCATAACACTTCCTTGATGCTGTTAGAATTGTTTTTATTCATTCCTTGTCTTGGTATGATAGACTTACATATGGTGCTATGAACTTGGGTATTTGTTGTTAATAGTGGGATCATAGGAAACCTGAAGTATGAGGCCGGGAAAATAGCCAAGTTGGCAAGATACTTGCTGTGCAAGCACAAAGATCTGAATTGACATCACCAGAACTCATGTAGAAATGTGGACTTGGCCATGGCATGCCATAGCATAGCCCTGGTGGTATCAGGGATAGAAGCAGTAGGATGTCTGGGGTCTGCTGGCTGCTAGCCTAACTCTAGGGTTGCTGAGAGACTCTATCTCAGGAGCATAAGGCAGAAAGTGGTGAAGCAGAAACTGAACATCTTCACACACACACACACAAACACACACACACACACACACCCCACCTGCAATAATATATTTTGTTCTTTCTTAACAATAGCCACTAGGCAGAATGCTAAATATATCACAAACAGGATGTTATTCAATCTCCACAGTTTTCCATTGTTAGGTTGTAGTATTTCCATTTTATATGAAAAGATGTTGATCAGTGGAGCCTATGTAACCTACTCAAGAATGTCCTGTTCCTCAGCAAAAGCACATTAACTCAGGCATTCCTGTTTGCTGGCATTTTGTAGCCAGATGTGACTTGCACCTGTAATCCCAACACTTAGAGCCTGATGCAGGAGGAT